CCCGTCTCAGCCTCCTGAGTAGCTGGCACTACAGGCACATGCCACCAAACCAGGCTAATTTTTGTATTTTTAGTAGAGACAGGGTTTCACCATATTGGTCAGGCTGATCTCAAACTCCTGACCATAGGTAATCCACCCACCTCGGCCTCCCAAAGTGTTGGGATTACAGGCATGAGCCACTGCGCCCAGCCTGCAGCTTACTTTATATGAAGATACTGAAACCGCCATTGAAAAATTGTAACTGAGATGGTGAAAGAGATCTGACCCAACCAGCTCTATCTTGCTTCTTAACACACCTCCAAGCTGCCCTTATACATTCCTGGGCATAAGCTGAACTAACTTTGGGAGGAATTTAGTTTATGGTTTAGAGTTTAAAACAAAGGCTGGGCACGGTGGCTCACACCTGTAATCCCAACAATTTGGGAGGCGGAGGCGGGTGGACCACCTGAGTTCAGGAGTTCCAGACCAGCCTGACCAACACGGAGAAACCCCGTCGCTACTAAAAATACAAAAAAATTAGCCAGGCGTGGTGGTGCATGCCTGTAATCCCAGCTACTCAGGAAGCTGAGGCAAGAGAATCACGTGAACCCGGGAGGCAGAGATTGCAGTGAGCCGAGATTGCGCCATTGCACTCTAGCCTTGGCAACAAGAGCAAAACTCCGTCTCAAAAATAAAATAAAATAAAATAAAACAAAGACGGTAATAGCCCTTTCCCAAAACAAACCTCCTTCTTGCCTGGGGACTAGGCTGCCTTTATAGGACTAACAAATTAGCTACACAATTAGAAATTATGGTTTAAGAGTCATGCGGCTGGAGGCTACAAGATTCTGACCCTCCTTAAACTGCTCCTAAGATCAGTGCTTGAGATATTTTGCAGACCCTGCACTTGATGAATCAGCTGGCACCACCCAGATTGATAAACTGGCTCATGTGATCTGTGGTCCCCACCCAGATCTGACTCCTTACAAGAGGACAGCATCAACTCCCTATGATCTCATCTCTGACCCAACCAATCAGCACTCTCGACTCACCGGCCTTCCCCTACCCACCAAATCATCCTTAAAAACTCTGATCCCTGAATGCTCGGGAGACTGACCTGAGTAATAATAAAATTCCAGTCTCCCACACAGCTCGCTCTGTGTGAATTAACTCTTCCTCTATTGCAAGTACCCTGTCTTGATAAATCAGCTCTGTTGAGGCAGCAGGCAAGGTGAATCCATTGGGCAATTACAATATCACCATATTGATAATTACACTGTGAAAAGCAAATTATTATAATAACTCCACTAACCTGAATGCATAGAAATTACAGTATTTTATTTTTTATGAATATTTTTTAAAACAACAGATAATAGGTCGGGCATGGTGGCTCACACCTATAATGCCAGCACTTTGGGAGGCTGAGGCAGGAGGATCACTTGAGCCCAGGAGTTCTAGACCAGACTGAGCAACATGGCAAAACCCCATCTCTACAAAAAAAAACTTTTCTAATTAAAAATTTAGCCAGGCGTGGAGGTGCACACCTGTAGTCCCAGCTACTTGGAAGGCAGAAGCAGAATAACTGCTTGAGTCCCCAAGTTAGAAGCTGCAGTGAGCTATGATCATGACACTGCACTCCAGCCTGGGTGATAGAATAAGACCTCATCTCAAAGAAAAAAAACAAAATATTTTGAAGCTTTTTACAGTAAAAAAATATTTTCAGATATCTATTTTAAGATAAACTTACTGAATAATGAGTAAAGCTTTTGCTTAGTTCCTTTTTAAAATCTCTAAGTACACCAGTTCCTTTTCCTAGCTTAGGAAAAGACCTAAGGCACAGTGATCTATGACAATAATAGAATATTTGCTTCATGGTATAGGCTCTTTTGGTATCTTAAAGCAATGATCATTATGTAGTGCCATGGATAAGCTATAGAAGAAATCACAGATAAAGCTAAGTATGTACTAACCCCCGGCTATTCTCTGAAAGTTTCTTTGGAAAATATAAGCATACTATTTACTACTTATCCCTATCTCTGAAAAGTAGAATGCAGGAAAAATTGCAACTCTTTAGTCAAGTTCTGATTACTCATTCACTGATTCAAAAACTGCTGTTGACCAGCCTGGCCAACATGGAGAAACCCTGTCTCTACTAAAAATGCAAAAATTAGCTGGGCATAGTGGCGGGTGCCTAGAATCCCAGCTACTCGGGAGGCTGAGGCAGAAGAATCGCTTGAACCTAGGGGGTGGAGGTTGCAGTGAGCCAAGACTGCACCACTGCACTCCAGCTGGGCAACAGAGTGACACTCCATCTCAAAAAAAAACAAAAAAATTAGCCAGGTGCGGTGGCTCACGTCTGTAATCCCAACACTTTGGGAGGCCAAGGTAGATGGATCATGAGGTCAGGAGTTCAAGACCAGCCTGGCCAACATAGTGAAACCCCGTCTCTACTAAAAATACAAAAAATTAGCCAGGCGTGGTGGCGGGCGCCTGTAATCCAGCTACTCAAGAGGCTGAGGCTGGAGAATCGCTTGAACGCGGGAGGCAGAGGTTGCAGTGAGTGGAGATCACCCCACTGCACTCCAGCCTGGGTAACAGGGTGAGACTCTGTCCCAAAAAAAAAATTGCTGTTGGCTGTAGAACCCCTATCATGTGCTCTGCATTACATGTGGAACTGGGAATAGAATAACAACCTTCAATGGCGTGAGGGAAACTGGCAAGTAAAGAGGAAGTAAAAAACGAGATAGAGGTCAAGTGCAGTGGCTCATGCCAGTAATCCCAGAACTTTGAGAGGCCGAGCCAGGTGAATCACTTGAGGTCAAGAGTTACAGACCAGCTGGCCAACATGGTGAAATCCCCTCTCTACCCAAAATACAAAAATTAGCCAGGCAAGGTGGTGCACACCTGTAACCTCAGCTACTCTGGAGGCTGAGGCATAAGAATTGCCTGAACCTGGGAGGCAGAGGTTGCACTGAGCTGAGATTGCCCCAGTGCACTCCAGCCTGGGTGACAGAGCAAGACTCTGCCTCAAAAAATAAAATAAAGGCCGGGCACGGTGGCTCATGCCTATAATCCCAGCACTTTGGGAGGCCAAGGCAGGTGGATCATGAGGTCAGGAGTTCGAGACCAGCCTGACCAACATGGTGAAATCGCATTTCTACTAAAAATACAAAAATTAGCCAGGCATGGTGGTGCGCACCTGTAATCACAGCTACTCAGGAGGCTGTGGCAGGAGAATTGCTGGAACTGGGGAGGCAGAGATCGCAGTGAGCCAAGATGGTGCCACTGCACTCCAGTCTGGGGGACAAAGCGAGACTCAGTCTCAAAAAAAAAAAAAAAAAAGAAATGCAAGTAATTCCAACCTACATATGCTATATGCCTTTCTGCTTAAACGATCTATGTTTTTAAGTATAAATTGCCTATGAAAATAAACACTTCTGGCCAGGCATGGTAGCTCACGCCTATAATCTCAATACTTTTGGAAGCCGAGGTAGGCCAATCACATAAGGCCAGGAGTTCAAGAACAGCCAGGCCAACATGGCAAAACTCCATCTCTATGAAAAACACAAAAAAATTACTCCTTTACCTGATGCAGGTCTCTACTCAAATGTCACCATGTGGGTAGAGCATTCTCTCACCTACCAGTATGAAATAACTTATCCTCACCCCACCCCCTTGCCAACTACCAGACTCAATTATCAAAAACAAAAATAAAAGTGCTTATTTATTTACTATCTATCACCCTAATCTAGAATACAAATGCTCTAGAGAGCGCAGATGGATTTTTATCACTCCTATATTCCAGAATCGGAGTCTACTGCCTGGAAGATCATAGGTTTGCAGTAAATATTTGGTGGATGACTGAGTAAAAACTTATAATACTAGGAATTTTTCTGATGCAAACTATTAATATAACATTTTATGTTATGAGTCACTTTTCTCTATTGCATCCCTAATTAAGAGTTAAGTACTTATATAGAAAACTAAGTAACACTGACTTTTTCCCTTTAGCCTAAACATACAAATACATGCATATATAAGCAGTTCACTGGCAAGGTCTGAATAATCGGAAGACTTTATGCCACTCTTTTCCTTCTCTTGGCTTAGTGCTTCTGAATATATTGAAGGGATACCTTGGGCTCCTATGTTATTACCTTAAAGTCAATTAACATTTCAACTCTGGGCCGGGAGTGATGGCTCATGCCTATAATGCTAGCACTTTGGAAGGCCAAAGTTAGTGGATCACTTGAGGTTAGGATTTAGAGACCAGCCTCACCAATATGGTGAAGCCATCTCTACTAAAAATACAAAAATCAGCCAGGCGTGGTGGTAGGCACCTGTAATCCCAGCTACTCGGGAGGCTGAGGCAGGAGAAACCTTTGAACTTAGGAGGCAGAGGTTGCAGTGAGCCGAGATCACACCACTGAACTCCAGCCTGGGCGACGGAGTGAGACTCTGTCTCAAAAAAGAAAAATAAAAATTGTAAGAGTTAATAACAGTACTTTGTAAACATTTGTAAAACATCAACATAAAAATTAGCAAAACTATAGGCAGATAATTCAAAGAAAAAATATGAATAGCCAATAAATGTATGAAAATTTTCATTTAGATTAATGTTCCTTAATAATGTTCAGCATCCAAGGCCGGATGCGGTGGCTCACACCTGTAATCCCAGCACTTTGGGAAGCTGAGGAGAGTGGATCACGAGGTCAGGAGATCGAGATCATCCTGGCCAACATGGTGAAACCCCATCTCTACTAAAAATACAAAAATTAGCTAGGCATGGTGGCACGTGCCTGGTAATTCCAGCTACTCAGGAGGCTAAGGCAGGAGAATCGCTTGAACCAGGGAGTCAGAGGTTGCAGTGAGCCGAGATCGCGCCACTACACTCCAGCCTGGCAACAGAGCGAGACTTTGTCTCAAAAAAAAGAAAAAACAAAAAAGAAAAAATTAATGTTCAGCAACCTAAATGGCCTGGGAAAAAAGAAAGCAGAATAACTTCCAAAAAAAAAAAAAAAAGCCAGCAAGAGGTTTCTTACAGCAATAAGAAAACACAGAAACTGGAAAACCTTTTAACTGACAAGGATGTGGGGTTGAAATACCTGTGATGGAACAATAGATGATGTGAGGAGCAATCTTGTCTATATCTTCATATCCCAGGCCCATTGCAGACAGTTTGCCAGGGACATAGTTTTCCACAAACACATCACAAACAGCTGCGAGCTGATGGAAGAGGTGAACATGAGTCAGACTTCCCCTCAACAAATCCTCACATGATAGAATTTTAAATTCTACACAATTGATTCTCCCTTTCTAATAGCTCAGAAAAATCACAGGACCGATGAAGCAAATTAGATAAACATAGAAGTTCTGGTCAACTACTTAAAGCATTACTGTCAGTAAAATAATGGCTTTTAAAGTTTTTGTAAGTACATGGTATTGAATGGATTCTGCATCCTTTAAATGTAATAAATATCTAGACTACATGTCTGTCCAAATAGATTCTCAAAAGATTAGGTAGAAAAATTAGAATGTAAGTACATTAAATCTATGAAAAACACCTTTTAAAACATTTACAAGAAAACTAAATAGGTCATGTCTGGTTGCTCACTTCTCTAATCTCAGCACTTTGGGAGGCCAAGGCAGGTGGATTGCTTGAGCCCAGGAGTTCAAGATCAGGAGTTCAAGACCAGCCTGGGCAACATGGCAAAATCCCATCTCTACAAAAATTAGCCAGACAAGGTGGTGCACACCTATGGTCCCAGCTACTCAGGAGGCTCAGGTGGGAGGATCTCTTGAGCCAGCAAGTTGAGGTTGCAGTGAGCTGCGATGGTGCCACTGCACTCCAGTCTGGGAGACTATTAGACCTTGTCTCCAAAAACAGACCTAAATACAAAGTCTTTACTACTCAGCATCCCTATTGTTACGTAATATTCCTCATTATAACATGCACTTAACGCATGTAAACAGGATTCTGAAATGTTTTCACACCTTTCAGATGCATTCTTCCCAAAGAGTTTTAAATGTATTTAATGAACCACCAAAGTTTTTTTTCTTCAGGCCACTAAACTATAGCCCAGTAAACCAGGAACTGTCAGGAACAAATTCCAGATTGTGATGCCCAGACCACTGTTACAGGAATTAGAGGACAATGCAGCACTGTAAACCTTAATTTTAATTTTTTTTCCCAAAATTTCAATTGCGACTACTTTTAAAAATGTTTGTAAAGAGCCAGGTGCAGTGGCTCACACCTGTAGTCCCAGCACTTTGGGAGGCCAAGTAAGGCAGACCATTTGAGGTCAGAAGTTCAAGACCAGCCTGGTCAACATGGTGAAACCCTGTCTCTACTAAAATTACAAAAAAATGAGCCAGGTGTGATGGCACATGCCTGTAATCCCAGCTACTCAGGAGGCTGAGGCACAAGAATCACTTGAACCCAGGAGACAGAGGTCACAGTGAGCTGAGATCGCACCACTGCACTCCAGCCTGGGTGACAGAGTGAGACCTTGTTTCAAAAAAAAATATATATATATATATATATAAAAAATATTTTTTATATATTTTTTTAATTGGCTCGGCACAGTGACTCACACCTGTAAATCCCAGCAATCTGGGGGGCCAAGGTAGGCAGATCACTTGAGGTTAGGAGTTCGAGACCAGCCTGGCAAATATGGCGAAACCCTGTCTCTACTAAAACTACAAAAATTAACTGGGCATGGTGGTACATGCCTGTAGTCTCAGCTACTCGGGAGGCTGAGGCAGGAGAATCACTTGAACCCAGGAGATAGAGGTTGCAGTGAGCCAAGATAGTGCCACTGCACTCCAGGCTGGGGCAACAGAGCAAGATTCCATCTCAAAAAAAAAAAAAAAAAAAAAATCACAGTAATTGGCTGGGCCCAATAGCTCACACCTGTAATCCCAACACTTTTTGAGGCTGAGGGGGTGGATCACTTGAGGTCAGGAGTTTGAGACAAGCCTGGGCAACATAGCAAGGCCTCATCTCTACAGAAAATTTAAAAATTAGCCAGGCATGGTGTCACATGCCTGTAGTCCCAGCTACACAAAAGGATGAAGCAGGAGGACTGCTTGAGCCCAGAAGGTGGAGGCTGCAGTGAGCAAGTTCTTGCTACTGAACTCCAGCCTGGGCAACAGAGTGGGACTGTCTCAAAAAAAAAAAAAAAAAGCACTCCTACAAGCACTAAAGAAAATAAACTGCAGGCTAGCCAGGTGCAGTAGCTCACACCTGCAATCCCAGCACTTTGGGAGGCTGAGGCAGGTAGATTACCTGAGGTCAGGAGTTCAGGACCAGCCTGGCCAACATGGTGAAACCCTGTCTCTACTAAAAAATACAAAAATTAGCCAGGCGTGGTGGTGGGCACCTGTAGTCCCAGCTGCTCGGAAAGCTGAGACAGGAGAATTGCTTGAACACGGAAGGCAGAGGGTGGAATGAGCCGAGATCACACCATTGCACTCCAGCCTGGGAGACAAGAGCGAAACTCCACCTCAAAAAACAAAAAAGGAAGAAAAAGAAAATAAACTGCATGCTATATAGCAAAATTCTAATACTGTTTCATCTAGGCATAGGATAAATGAGAGTTCACTATTCTTTCAACTTTTCTGAATGTTTTAATTTTTCATAACAAAATGTCATAGGAAAATAAAACTCATGCATTGCTATGCTGACCATAACACACACCCGTAATAATGATATTGTGACTGTCAACTAATTAACATAGAAAATTGTCTGAAATATTGGATAACACATGATCAAAATTTATCAAATCATATCACCACAATAATACTAAGTTCCATATAGGTTTTCTAAGCAGAGTTTCAGTTTTTACACAACCTGTTTTTGGTTAGCCTAGTTGCCAAAGGAGTCATACTTTTTGAAGCTCTCATGTATCCAGCTGATTGACTTGTATAATACTTTGGAACTGTTTCTATAAACTAGACCCATTATATTAGCAATCCTTTTTCTTTTTTTTTTTTTTTTTTTGAGATGGAGTCTCACTCTGTCACCCAGGCTGGAGTGCAGTGGTGCGATCTTGGCTCACTGCAACCTCCACCTCCCGGGTTCAAGTGATTCTCCTGACTCAGCCTCCCAAGTAGCTGGGACTACAGGCACACATCACCACGCCTGGCTAATTTTTGCATTTATAGTACAGACAGGGTTTCACCATATTGGCCAGGCTGGTCTCGAACTCCTGACCTCACGATCCGCCCCACCTTGGCCTCCCAAAGTGCTGGGATTACAGGTGTGAGCCACCATGCCTGGCCTTTTTTGCTACTCTTAAGGCCAGAAGAGAAATCTATATCAGAAATAAGAAAGACTAGAGAAAAAATAATTTTTCCTTTAGAAAGTAAGATACATAACTTATGAATTGTATAACTACCTAAAAGCAATTGACTGGCCATGGTGGTTCACACCTGTAATCCCAGCATTTTGGGTGGCTGAGGTATGCGGATTGCTTGAGGCCAGGAGAACAATTTAGAAAAATCAAAACAAGGCCGGGCGCGGTGGCTCAAGCCTGTAATCCCAGCACTTTGGGAGGCCGAGGCGGGTGGATCACGAGGTCAGGAGATCGAGACCATCCTGGCTAACACGGTGAAACCCTGTCTCTACTAAAAATACAAAAAAAAACTAGCCGGGCGTGGTGGCGGGCGCCTGTAGTCCCAACTACTCGGAGGCTGAGGCAGGAGAATAGCGTAAACCTGGGAGGAGGAGCTTGCAGTGAGCCGAGATCGCGCCACTGCACTCCAGCCTGGGTGACACAGCGAGACTCCGTCTCAAAAAAAAAAAAAAGAAAAGAAAAATCAAAACAAGTTTCAAAAGAAAAACAAAAACAAACAAACCTAAGTTATGCTACAGGAAAGATATGGGAAGGCAGGGTGGTAAGATCAGGATGATTTTCAAGCTTTGGGTTCAAAATACATCTAGTTAATGAAAATTCTAAATTGGCTGCATTGATCCAGCAGAACCAAAAAGGATGGTCCCTGATTCTGATCTTAATAATTAAAGATTATCTTTCAATGACCGAGATAGAGAACATAAAGCAGCAGAAGAGCAATTGAAGCTAAGTTCATGTTTGGGTAAAACATAAAGTTTGAGGCCAGGCGCAGTGGTTCATGCCTGTAATCCCAGCACTTTGAGAGGCCGAGGCAGGTGGATCACCTGAGGTCAGGAGTTTGAGACTAGCCTGACCAATATGGTGAAACCCCATCTCTACTAAAAATATAAAAATCAGCCGGGCGTGGAGGCACGTGCCTGTGGACCCAGCTACTCCACAGGCTGAGACAAGAGAATTGCTTGAAATCAGGAGGCGGAGGTTGCAGTGAGCCGAGATCGCGCCACTGCACTCCAGCCTGGGCGACACAGCAAGACTCTGTCTCTAAATAAATAAATAAGTTTAAGACTTGGTTCTCTAACCAAATAGCCCTAAGTACACTTGGCCCTTGAACAACAGGGGTTTGAACTGTGCAAGTCCACCCCTAGGTGGATTCTTTTCAACCAAACGTGGATGGAAAATACAGTATGCACTGGATGCAAAACCCATGTACACTGAGAGCCAATTTTTTATATAAGCAGGTTGCACAAGTTCTGTACTGCAGGACTTAAGTATTCACAGATTTTGGTATATGTTGAGGTTCTAGTAGAACCAGTCCCCCAAATACAGAAGAATACTGTACATCCATTAGATTCACCTATAAACCTTAGCAAAGATGGCAAACAAGGTTTATCCCACATGATGAATCCAACATCAGGAACATAGGAAATAATAACAGCTAATAACTCATGAGTGCTGACTATGTGGCAAGCATTCATCTACACATTTTACACAGACTAACTCAATTCTAACAACAACCCTAGAGAGTAGGTACTATTGGGCTGGGCACAGTGGTTCACACATGTAAATCCCAGCTCTTTGGGAGGCCAAGGTAGGCAGATCACTTGAGGTCAGGAGTTCAAGACCAGCCTGGCCAATATGGTGAAACCCCATCATTACTAAAATTACAAAAATTAGCCAGGTGTGCTGGTGCACACCTGTAATCCCAGCTACTCTGGAGGCTGTGGCAAGAGAATTGCTGGAACGCAAGAGGTGGAGGTTGCAGTGAGCCGAGATCATGCCACTGCCCTCCAGCCTAGGCAAAAAAGCAACACTCTGTTTCAAAAAAAAGAAAGAAAGTAGGTACTATTATTACCCAGTTTACTAATGAAGAAACTGAGACACAAAGAAGTTATATAACCTGTCTGAAGTCATATAGCCAGTAAGCACAGAAGGCAGGATTCAAATCCCATGCAAAGGTATCCATCCTTAATTTAACCACTGTGCCTTCCAGCTCCTGTAAGAAAGATGCTGAGATCAGGTCTGGATATACTGATCATCTGAGTAAGGGTTAGAGAAAGCTTGGACTCTCCAGTGATGTGACTCAGATCCAAATGTCAGCTTTCCCCATACTAGCTAGGTAAACTTGGAGCATCACTTAGGCACCAGGAAACTCAATTCCCTTTTATGTAAATGAGATTTCAATACTTCATTTACAAGGTAAAATCTGAGGATTAGAGAAGATAACGTGAGCAAAGTGCCCAAGCCCAGGATTTGCTACACAGTTGGTGCTCAGTCAATAGTAGCTAGCACCATAATGATACACAATATACAAAAAATTTAAAGCACATTACACTTACAAAGAAGTATACAAATCAAGGTAAATACTTAAAAGGTATTTGTTGCAAATGTACAGATCACCCATAAAATTGAGTTTTAAAACACTTTTGCTCTGATATTTCAATCCCTAATTATAACCTAGGTGGTAGGATGCCTTCTATACAGCATACTGTACCTCTTTGATGATTTTCACCCCTTTTGGATCCTTGATATTAACAGCAATACTCTAAAAATTAAAAAAATATATATATATATTATTTCGATGACCAAAATACAAGCCCCAATCCCTACCATTATGCAATATACCCACATAACAAACATGCAATGATGTATCCCCTGAATCCAAAAAAAAAAATAAAAAAAAAAAAAAAAAAAGCATGTATATGAAAATACTACCATAAAAGTTTTTCTTTTTTTCTTTTTTCACTTTTTGAGACGCAGTCTTGCTCTATCACCCAGTCTGGAGTGCAGTGGTGCGATCTTGGCTCACTGCAACCTCTGTGTCCCGTGTTCAAGCGATTCACATGCCTCAGCCTCCCAAGTAGCTGGGACTACAGGCACACGCCACCATGCCCAGCTAATTTTTGTATTTTTAGTAGAGACGGGGTTTCACCTTATTGGCCAGGATGGTCTCAATCTCCTGACCTCATGATCTGCCCACCTCGGCCTCCCAAAGTGCTGGGATTACAGGCGTGAGCCACTGTGCCCAGTCATGAAAGTTCTTCTTATTGCTGACAAGAAAGCCATTCATATCATAGATCATCCTCTTAAATTTATTTTATGCATGAAGAAATATTTAAATCATCTTTACTGATTCTATTTACCATGAGGATATATTAATATGCTAACAAGGATGATAGGAGATGTTTTTAAAGTATAATACCAAGTGTTAGGCAATTATTCCCTAATAATAACAAATGTAAGGAATCAAATGATTTTTCTATTTCATAAAATTATTTCCATTATAAATTCTTATGAAATGTTCTAAGTTACTTAGTAGGTAAGAAAGAGTAGTAAAAAGCTCCATTGTTTCTACTTAGTGAATGGTAAATGAACAGAAGTTTAATTTATTTGAAATATTAATTACATCTTAATTTCTTTAAGGAACAAAAAAAAAGCCACAATGATATCAACATTTTTGCTATTACAAGAGAATTACACACAAAAAGCCAAAAAGGGATGATATTCTTACTTTTTTATTTCGGTTAACACTGAGATAATATGTACTTTCTGTCCCAACAAAAGGTGGCCCCCAAGTCCGTGTATCATCTCCAACTCCTGAAAATAATAACATGAGTTATTAATCTTTGGGTTTTTTTTTTTTTTTTTTTTTTTTTTTTTGGAGATAGAGTCATGGAGTCTCACTCTGTTGCCCAGACTGGAGTACAGAGGAATAATCTCTGCTCACTGCAACTTCCACCTCCTGGGTTCAGGTAATTCTCCTGCCTCAGCTACCCGAGTAGCTGGGATTACAGATGTGCACCACCATACCTGGCTAATTTTTGTGTTTTTAGTAGAGACAGCGTTTCACCATGTTGGCCAGGCTGGTCTCAAACTCCTGGCCTCAGGTGATCCACCCACTTCGGCTTCCCAAAGTGCTGGGATTACAGGTGTGAGCCACTATACCCAGTCATTTAAAGTAGTTTCTAAGTGACTGTGAAAAAAAATAAAAATAGTACTATCAATTTCTAGAACTATAATTTAATTGTACTATCAACTGCTAAAACTAGCTAGGATTACAGGCACCCGCCAGCATGCCCTGCTAATTTTTGTATTTTTACTAGAGATGGGGTTTCACCATATTGGCAAGCCCATCTCGAACTCCTGACTTCAGATGATCCGCCTGCCTCAGCCTCCCAAAGTGCTGGGATTACAGGTGTGAGTCACCACACCCAGCCAAGAAGCATTAGTTCTAACTGGAGCTAAACCAATGACATCTCCTGCATCAGCCTCCATAGTAACTGGGATTACACAGGTGTGCACCACCATGCCTGGCTAATTTTTTATTTTTAGTAGAGACAGGGTTTCACAATATTGGCCGGGCTAGTCTTGAACTCCTGACCTCAAGTGACCCAGCCGCCTAGGCCTCCCAAAGTGATCCCACTGCGCAGGGCCAGTAGTTTATTTTAGACATTTGCACTCATTTCTCAGGCGGAGATAATGTCAGGAGTCTAAACTGGAGGCCTACAAGGCTTTCCTCATTTAACTGGGGTTTCAGAAGGCTCTGTGTCCATGGCACGTGACAGGAAATGAATGGGTTAAAGGGCATAATCTGGAAAAACCTGCAGCTTGGGAGACATGTTTTATTTGACCAACATAATTCTTAAAGTTTTTAACTAGCTGCCATGATTTCAAAATCTGGAAATCTTTAAAAATTCACACTGCCTTTCTTAGATGACCTTTTGACACATTCATTCATTCAACAAATATTTATTGAGCACCAACTATGTCACAGACACTGCTCTGTGTAGAGCAGACACAGCAGTGAACAAAAGACCAACAGCCTTGGCCTCGTGTGCCCTAGTGGAGACGATGCTGAAATTTCAGCTGCATCCTTGCTCACTTCCCTGCTCACTTTCCTCACTTAGGTTCCTTGCCTGGCCCTGCAGGCACACAGATACATCCACTGACTGGCTAACTCTACAAAAAGAGGAGTATACATAAATGTAATATGCTCTTTGGTTACACAAATAAAAATAATCTAATACTAAATCAGAAAACTACAACCAGGCCAGACGTGGTGGCTCATGCTGGTAATCCCAACACTTTGGGAGGCCAAGGCGGGTGGATCACTTGAGGCCAGGAGTTTGAGAACAGCCTAGGCAACATGGTGAAACCGTGTCTCTACAAACAGTGAAAAAATTAGCCAGGTGTGGTAGCACATGCCTGTATTCCCAGCTACTTAGGACACTGAGATGGGGGAATCGCTTGAGCTCAGGAGGTCAATGCTGCACTGAGCCAGGAGTGTGCCACTGCATTCCAGCCTGGGGGACAGAGCAAGATCCTGTGAAAAGAAAAGAAAAAGAAGAGAAGAGAAGAGGAGGAAAGGGGAGGAGAAGGGAAGGGAGGGAAAAAAAGAAAAGAGAAAAAAAAAGAAATAGAGAAGGAGGGCAGGGCAGGGCGAAAGAAAAAAGAGAGAGAGAAAGAGAAAGAAAGGGAAGAGAAGGGAAGGGAGGGGAGGGAGGGGAAGGAGGGGAGGGAGGGGAGGGAGGGAGGGAGGGGAGAAGAAGGGAGGGGAGGGGAAGGGAGGGGAGGGAAGGGAAAGGAGAGGAAGGGAAGGGAAGGGAAGGGAAGGGAAGGGAAGGGAACTGAAAACTACAACCAAATTTTATTTAATTGAGGAACTGTAGAGTGGATATAAAATGAAACTAGTTTTCTACTGAAATGTGAAAATACCACAAAGCTGCTTTTAATGAAAATCACTTTTTCTCATATCTGTGTTGAATAACTATCTCAAAAACCCAAAACAATTAAATATATAATATGAATATTAAAATGTATTAATTGGGAGGGTGAAGAGAAGTAGTCATAGTAACCGGTCAAAAAAAGGACAATAGGCCAGATGCAGTGGCTCACCCCTGTAACCCCAGCACTTTGGGAGGCCGAGGTATGTGGGTGTGTGGATCACCTGAGGTCAGGAGTTTGACACCAGCCTGGTCAACATGGTGAAACCCCGTCTCTACTAAAAATAAAAAAATTAGCTGGGCGTGATGGCACATGCCTGTAATCCCAGCTATTCAGGAGGCCGAGGCAGGAGAATCATTTGAACCTGGGAGGTAGAGGTTGCAGTGAGCTGAAATCGTGCCATTGCACTCTAGCCTGGGCAACAAGAGTGAAACTCTGTCACAAAAAAAAAAAAAAAAAAAAAGGACAATAAACACCTGCTAGGAACAAAGCCCGATACCAAGTGTATGGCGATGAGACATAATAAAGGCCTAGACAAAGAAAGATCTGTTGTAGTTTAGTTTGCATGGTGGAAACTGAAAAGTACAAAGGAGAAATAGGCCTCACTATATAGGGAACAACAATTTATAAAATTAATAGAAATACAAATGTTACCCTGGTGGCCAACTGAAATAGCAAGAGAAATTATTAACACATTGAATGTTCTATGTGTTATAGGAATGGAAAATGCAAGAAAACCAATGGTTGTAAGTGCTGCGGTGTTGAAATCAGATAGCAATATGGAAATTAGAAGCTTTAAAGAAAAAAACAAATGTTGAGCTAGAAAATAAACATTCTTCCGCATGTATCCAACACTGACTAAAAGCGATGAACATCATTGAATGAATAAACGAAGCATCATCTCTGGGAGCAGGACTTGCCGAGCACTTCTACCGCCTGAGACTGGCAGGGATAATAAAAAGTAATAAAATATACTAATACATGATATTTCTCATGCTCATCAGAGAATCTTCTGCTAATTGCCTTGGCTTCTTAAGAATATCTACTTAACAAGAAATTGAATCTTCCAGATCAAGTATTCTACTGTCTGTAAAGACAAAATAAAATTTAAAAAATTTTAAAAAAGAAGGAAACAAACAAAAAGATATTCTACTTTATATGGTTATCACTTACAGTCAATTACTAAGTTGATGTAATTATAAATCATTCTCCTGTGAGTCTTAGAGATACATACACATTATTCACCACTAGACCAGTCTCACTGATTTGGGGATTCTGTTTAAGACCCATAGGATCAGATCTTGAAACATAAATAATAATGCTAATTTTTGAAAACTTCGAAAACAAGCTGCATAGGCCAGGTGTGGTGGCTCACCCACACCTGTAATGTCAGCACTTTGGGAGGCTGAGGTCGAAGGATCGTTTGAGCCCAGAGTTCAAAACCAGCCTTGGCAATATAGGAAGACCCTGTTTTTACCAAAAACTATATATATATATTTTATATAAAATATATATTTTATATATATATATTTTATATAAAATATATATTTTATATATATATATTTTATATAAAATATATATTTTATATATATATATTTTATATAAAATATATATTTTATATATATATATATATTTTTTTTTTTTTTTTAAATAAGGCCGGGTGCGGTGGCTCATAGAGCGAGACTGCATCTCAAAGAAAAAAAAGTAGCCAGGCACGGTCGCGCACAACTATGGTTCCAGCTAAGGTAGGAGGATTGATTGAGCCCAGGAGGTCGAGGCCACAGTAAGCCATGATTACACGATGGCACTCAAGCCTGGATGACAGAGTGAGATCTGTCTCAAAAATAAAATAAAATAAAACAAGCTGTTTATATGATGATATAGCAGACATTAAAAAACATGGACTGTGCCCTTTAAGTGCTTATTGGAGAGAAAGGGCACAAAACAATGACACGTTCCTTTTTGAGATGGAGTGTGGCTTTTGTTGCCCAGGCTGGGATGCAATGGCATGGTCTCAGCTCACTACAACCTCCATCTCCCAGGTTCAAGCAATTCTCGTGCCTCAGTCTCCCAAGTAGAGATTACAGGCATCCGCCATCATGCACCACTAATTTTTGTTCTTTTAGTAGAGAAGGGGGTTTCACCACATTGGCCAGGTTGGAGCCTGACCTCAGGTGATCCGCCCACCTCAGTCTCCCAAAATGTGATTACAGGTGTGAACCACTATGCCCGGCCAATAATGATGCTTTTCTAAGAAACTTTATCAATAACAGCTTGAACTAAACACCAAACTGCTAAGATGATACCAAATAAAAGTGAGAAATGTGTGCACAGAATATATTTATTTGGTGAACAAAGGAGGAAGAAAGAACAGGAAAGATGTCAGATGAAAACATAAAAGCAAAAAACTGATCTAAGCTTAGGTGTTTCCTCCTTCAAAACCTTTAAAATTATAAAATGGGGAAATGTTTCTTTTATTGAAAATAGAAAAAAATGGCCAGGAGTAGTAGGTCACACCTGTAATCCCAACATTCTGAAAGGCTGAGACAGGAGTTCAAGACCAGAACAAGCAATATAGCAAGACTCTGTCTCTACATACACACACAAAAAAAATTGTATTATTATAGCTGGGCATGGTGGCACATGCCTGTAGTCCCACCCATTCAGGAGGCTGAGGCAGGAGAATTGCTCAAGCCCAGTAGTTGGAGGCTATAGTGAGCTATGATCACACCACTGCACTCCAGCCTGGATGACAGAGGGAAATGCCGTCTCTAAAAAAGAAAAAGGAAATAGAAAAGAATGACTTAGGTTGGAGTATTTGAGGTTTTCTGTTTGTTTGTTTGTCTGTTTGTTTTTCAGACAGGGTCTCACTC